TTAAATATTATGCTAGTGCTATATATATATATATATATATATATATATATATATATATATATATATATATATATATAGTGTTTAATTGTTGCACTTGAAATGTTGTGGATTTGGGGTTTGCAATGTGTGAGTGAAGTTCCAGAGAATCCAAGAAGCAGGCCACCATAAAATATGGGCAAAATTAGTGCAGAAAATTAACACACCTGATTGGTTTCAATCATTAAAAATGTAAGCCAAAAAAAAAAAAGGAAAAAGAAACACAATTTGAAGCAATAATGCCAGTGATTTATTTTGAAGACTATCTCTAGGATCCACATCACCTGTGAGATCCTAAAATTTGTTTCTTCTTCTATCTGGAAGAAGAGAAGTGACTCGACTAAGATATCTACTACCGGAGACACTTCAAGTAGCTGTTGTTGTCAGCTACTCCAATCCTTTTGTGATGATAGAGGAGGAGGAGGAGGTGATGATAAAGTCAGTCACGGTGCAGTAGTTCCATCCTCCATCACTGCCTTTGTTCTACTCATGGCGGCAGATGGCATCTTGCTCCTCCCGGCCCAGGTTGTGCCCAAAGCCTCACCTTCCTCTGCTTGCTGTTCCATCTCCTCCATTTTCCTATTCCTCGTCAACCTCATGATTCCCATCCCTACCAAACCCACCAAGAGAAGCCCAACCACTCCGCTCCCACATGCCACCGCCCAAACCCTCCACGTCGTCTCCCTCGCCGTGTCCGGAGCCGAGCTCGCCACGGACGACGGCACGACCATGGTGAAGTGCCCTGTCCTCGTCGCGGCGCAGGCGTTGTCCGACGCCGCGTCGGCGAGCTGCACCACCGATCCGTGCGGCCCGAGGCGGGCGCACTCGATCGTGGCGTTCAGTCCCGCCGGCAATGTGACTCGGGGGAAGGTGATGGAGATGGGATCTCCCAGAACTCTGAGCTCCAGCTTCCGGGTGGCGTTGGAAGTGGAACCACCGGATGCGTCGTAAGCGAGGCAGCCGACGACGGGAGCGAGGAGGGAGTAGCCGGGGACGTTGAAGAAGGACGACGACCGGTTGCCGAGGTCTTGGTGGACGACGACCAGCCGCCTCACGAACGGGACGGTCGTCGTCCTCGGAGGGACGTGGAGGGAGCCGAGACGGGCTCCTCTGCTCCACAGATTCCCGCTCCTCATCCTTTGGACAGAAGCTCTGACGCCGGAGAGACTCGAAGGAAGAGGCACCTCGTATGCCACACCTGTTCGACCTCGAGATAACAGGTCGAAAGCACGGTCGCGAATCGTCGAATCCAAGGACTCGATCGACATGGTCGACGAGTCCGTTCCAAGGGCGACGAGCAACAAGGAGGAGAAGAGGAGAGAGGTGACAGGCCAACACACCGCTCTTGGCCCCATGAGGCTGCAGGAAGAAGAGACTGCATACGTCGATGAGCTCCTAACGCCAAGCAAGCAAGGAAAAGAAGGTGGAGTTCCTTTCTCTCTCCTTCCAAAGGCTGTGTGTCTGATTGAGGCCTTTTTGTCTCTCCCTTTACTATCCAACTTTAATCAACTCTATTCGTGAAGAGATGGGGGAGGAGGGCACAGAGATGGGCTGGATTGGCTAATATTGCAAGATCTAAGAGGCGAAGAGAGATGCAAAAGGTTGGAAATGGTATCAGCAGGGCAATTATAGCCATCTTGTACGTGTGGCAAGTGGAGGGTGACAGCTTGGATACCGCCGTCAATCTCGTACTAGTTGGTCAATGTGATCAACATCCATGATTGGAACATCAACAGTAATCCTGTCCAGGTTTCGTTGAGGCATATCCACACCTACTTTCTCTCTGAGCTCTGCAGTCCAATATCCATTTGTTCCTAAATATATAAATATAAATATATATATATATATGAGATAAGGAGGAGGAGGAGGACCAAACAATGTATTGGAAGCGGGTGACAAAGATTGGCCATGGAATCTAACAAGTCTCTTGGAGGATTGTCAACATATTTAGCCAAAATATGTGGTCCAATGAAGTCATATAAGCAGGGAATATAATATAATAAACCAACAAACTAGAAAAGTATGCAAAGTACTAAATGGATATTTGAGGTCCTCTTATGTGAGTGAGACTTGAGTCGTCGTCGTCTTATCTAACCACTGTTCTTGATATAAAAAAGAAAGAATAGGCAATGAGATCTCACGAATGGGATTTACCTCAAATATCCATCAGTCGGGATCTCATTCATTTGAAGCATCAGAGTCCACGAATGAGATGATTTTTAGTTGTTTCTGTGCTGATCAGATTCCTCGCTGGTAAACAAAAGACAGGACACGAGCAATAATGCGGTTTGAATGAAATGTGTACAACAAAAAAAAATTAACCAAAAAGATTAGGGAAAATTTCTGACAGCATTTAACCAGAATTGGAACAGATGTACTAAAATTGGCAGTATGAAGGGGGAAAGAGGGGGGCTTACTTACAGTGCCTTGACCAACCTGCCAAATGGGTCAGTCCTTTTCTCATGTAAATAGATCTCCAACACAAAGCTGTATTCTTTTACTCCCAAAATAGTTCTTCAATTTGAGGTCAAACCTGAGCCCAAGCAGATCAGTGTAGATTAATGAATCCAACAGGACCATAAAAGATGAAGTCAGATTGAAGTTGATAACACACAACCAATCCAACCTGGAATTTGAAGAAGCCAGTCAGGGAAAATATCCACATGCCATGAAACTGAAAGATGTCACGCTGCATAAGCTGCTGGATAAATAACTGGAGACGGTAATAATTATACAGATTCATTAGTTAGGAGCAGAGTTAGTGAGCAAAGGAACTTTCGCAATCTCGTACATAATATTACATGACCATTCCCCTCCCCCCTCTAAAGCTTTGGCCGCCATCGTAGGGTAAAAAAAAAAAAACCATGGCACGACACCCTTGCATCCACCCCATGGCATTATGGGGAGTGATAAGATGACAAAGCATCAACATTTCATTTTTCATTCGCATGAGAGAGATTGATGTTCACTGATCGTCTGACACTTGTACTACTGCGGCAAGGGGGATTGGGACTGCTTGATGGTCAATTCAGCTCTCAAGTGAAGAGTGTCATTGATGAAGAAGAGGCTATCTTCGGCCATGAAGGAAGTCCATGGTGTGGCAAACAGGTTCCTGTAGCCTACTGCCTTCCCGCCTGTGAAAGTGTAGTAGCCTTTGTACTTGCTCACAAACTCTCCTGACGGCTTGGTTCTTGCAGCAAACTCATAGTCCACCGTAAAGCTGATTGAACCTTTCTCCTGCATCCCTAGGAAAAGGCCGAAGCAGTGGAACAAACTCTGTTGATCCAAGTTGCAGTGGGCTGAGAGGAAGAATCCCTGCCCGCCCAAATGAAATGCCTGTGAGTAGACCCGGCCCGATGGGAACAGTTTAGCGCACTCCTCTCTCTTCAGGTCCAGGTAGACGATGCATTGTGGGTGAGGCCTATCGAATTCTACCACCTTCAGCGGACGGTACTTATAAGCCCTCTCCGTAAACCGCTTGTGGCTTGATTCATCAGCAGAAAAGGCGCGCTGCCGGTGCAAGGCCTCTGCCTTAAAAAAGAGCGCCTCGGTGACCAACTTGGAAGCAAGCTCGTGGTCCAGGTCATTGCATGTGAGAACTTTTCTCAGTTTCCTGCAAGTCATATGAGCAAAGCGGATATGGCGAATTAGGCGAGAACTCAAGATCTCACGCCGTTCTTCTAAGACTGGGTACTGAGCACGGGCCCATTTGAGAACAAACTCATAGATTGCATCCTCCGATGCCGCTTGGAGGTCATTACTAGATAGTATAGCCTCGATGCCAGCAAGAGGAAGACCCATCATTACGTCTTGCAACCTGCAAGTAGAAAAGTTGCCAAGTCCAAAGTTAGAATATATGTACCGAGTTTTGCATATGGTCATTGCTTCTACATGTGGACTTACTTTGTTATGTCCTTGTAACTATTGGCAAGGTAATCCTTGGCTGCATCGGTCAAAGGCTGGACTGCTGAGGCCATTGAAACACTAAAAGGGAGATCCAGATAGAGTAGTGCAGATTCTGTGGTCATGGGCAAGCTTCTAAGTAACTGAGTACAATGGTGCATGCAAGACACAACCTCAAACTTATCAGCAGCCATCAGCACATCCAAGAGGAGGGTGGGAGAGGTAGTCGACAACTTTCCACTGTACATAAAACTTAAGAGCTCCATAAGAGCAGCTTCCTCTGTTTAAAGTGAAAAAAATTAAGGTATATAAAGATAAAGTTGCTTGTCCAGAAAGGCATGCAAGTTGGGCTGATGTACAGACCTCCATAACTCTGGGGTTGTTGCTCTGAATCTCTCTCTAAAAAGATGGAACTCCGAGAACAAAATATATTTGGAATGCAGAAACAAGTTCTATCCATCAAGGATGTAGTTAAAATATCCAATAACATGAATTGTTCACTCGAGGAATGCCACATGGCAGTTCACATAATATTACTCAACTTTGTTGATTTTGTTAAAATCTGAAGATTCTCCTATACCTTAAAAAATAAAGACAAATCTAATCTGGTGCAAGAAATGACAATTTTATCAATTACAAAGTCTCAAGGATCTATTGAAAGTAAGAAAGGATCAAATGGCCAAATTGAATTATATACTCATTTCCAAGATGAAATATAACACTTTAGAGGGCAGATATACTTACACCAAGTAACACTTAATAGTTAATACCATCTGTTTTGAAATTACCTGATGCATTGATTCTTAGGGTCGCATGTCGCTGATCGGATTCTTTCATGCCATTTGAAAAAAGCTAATAATGAAAACATGAGAAAAAAAAAACAATGATTTAGAAGTTATAATCACAAACAGAATAGAGTACGACAGTAGGTGGCACTTCTAACCTTGTAGAAAAATGGGCTTTTGGCAGCCAGTATAGCAGAACTAATATAAATGGAGTTGACTCTGAGGATACAAGGAGAATCAAGACTTAACGGATCATTACTTTCTGAATCATCACCTGTAAATTATTAAATATAGTCAAACAACAAACATAAACACAAAAAATGGTACTGTGACAAAATAAGATCCAAGTCAGCATTGCCATGTTCATCAACCAATTCTTAAAACAAGGATGATTCTTCCAGGTTCAGCAAGATATTGACATCTCTATCGTACTGGTAGAAAATGCCTTCAGTGAAACCTCCTCTATATGCTCCAACGAAAGGAATAGCATATAAATGGAGAAGTTGCTTTTTTTTTCTACAAAATGTGTGATGAAGTGTAGCATCAAGCTGGGATGTGTCATGACTTTTTATTCTCAAGGAGACTTGGCAGGCAAATGAGATGTGCCTTACAGCACAAATACAAGTTTGGACGACAAACAATGATAAGACCAAAAAATAATTCTGTGGCCACATAATTGACACAGAAGTTGATTATTATGACCATGCATAGTGAGCTGTTGAGTGTCTCCAAAAGTTCATGATTAAAACGAAATATAACATATATATTATTGTGCTTACTCTTAATTTTGTGTTTTTTGTCTGCTTGTTGACTTTGTTTTTATCTTGATGTAACTCCCTAACCAAAGTTACCCTTCTGTCTAATCCCATTGCGGCCCAGGAGATACTTGAACCTGAATTGGTACAAAGAAAATAATATACACACAATATAGCCTGTAGGCATGCTGGCCAAACCTGATACAAATTTGTCTTAAGGAGGAATGTTAAAGTAGGTTGAGATGTTTTGCACCCAAGTTTTTCATAATACAAAGATGTTCATAACCTCCGTAAGGCCTTCCCTAGATTCATTAATGTTCTATAACCTATCCAATATTGATAAAAAAAAATTACAAAATGATAATATATAAGAAGTAAGCACTTAAGGTTCACATCAGAGAAGTCAGACACTTAATGACATACAAGACTGAGACAAATACAGATTGAGACACAATGGTTGTCCTTTATTATGATGAGGCTTGCATATATGTTTTTTATTAGGATAAGATTCACATACTTATTCATTTAAAGCATAAGTATTAACAGTGACAACTAAAGACATCTGAAACTTTTATGTTGTGTTGTTAAGGTATTAATAGCAAGCTCAGATACAAAATTTATGATTTCGCAAGAATCAAGCAAATAGATTGCAGGAGCAGAGCAAGCTTGTATCTGCAATCATCCACAGGTCAAGACCTTGCTAATTGAAGTTTTTTTTTTCTGTGTGCAGAAGCAACATAATCATTGACAGGATTGAATTTTCAATCCAACAAATATAGTATGAACTTAAGAACATTGTGATCAATGCTGAACAAAAAATTATTACATTGTTAAATTATTTTGTTCAGGACTAATTTCATCAAGTTAGGCCAAATAACTTTGTCTAAATGTCTCAGGTTTGGCAAAATTATGGTTGACTCAGGACTCATTCCTGAGACAAGTAGCACCTAACCCTAGCCAGCGCCCAACCTAAAACCAGCCTGGCATGACATCTTGCTATCTACATGACATTCATAGACTGAAATCTTCATTAACCTGAGTTTCACCCAGCATAAGTTGAGGATGAGTTGGGACTTAAAACCTCCAAGATGTAATTGGGTCTAATTAAGTTACAGTTGGTGTTTCCTATGTGTTGGATTGGGTTAAGCTTAACTGCAATTCAATCCAAACCAAGGTTCAAAATCTTGATCAGGTGTGGATACTGATTGGAGGCCAGATCTATACAGAAACCTAGTACATAGTGACAAACTGACGCACAGTACCACTCGAACTAGAGAGAAAAAAGGAGGTGATGGCAGCAGAGGCAGAGCAGGAGGAGGAGAAGGTGGTGGTGATATAGAAGCAGAGGCCTGACAGAGAGGAAGATGTGGAAAAGGAGACAAAGGAATAGACATGCCAGTATATGGCAGAGGAGACGATGGCAAACCTTACGAGGAGGAGGCAACAGTGAATATGGCAGGGTGAAGGATGAGGTTTTTTTGGGGGGGGTGGTGGGGGGTTCGGGGGAAGAGGAAAAAAGATATAGTTGTCAAAATCTTTAAAAAAGATGGGGATACCGAGTGATAGGCTTACCACCTGATATCTCTAGTTTTAATAACTAAAATCAGATGGTACACCTGAGAAGTAACAGTTCGTATATCACTATATCAGTTCACGATCAGACAAGCAAATACAAAATTGACTGACCAGTATGGCCAGTTTTCTAAACCTTGAACCAAACTCTCCAAGTTGCAAGTTTAGAGATAATTTCTATAAAGAAACAAAATAAACATATTACCAAGCTATGCAATCAAAGTAACAACATGAATGTAAAATACCTATAAGGGAACTTGATATTCAAAAATACCTTCCACCCAGCAGCAATATTTAATTATTGACATAGCATGATGCTAAAGAGAGTTGGGCATACCGCATACACCAGTTCGATCTGTAATTGGTGCTGATTCTTCAAGCATTGGTTCATCTTCTTCATCTTGGTTCTCATATTCCGCACATTCCTCAGTGTCAGGCTCGCAACTTGATATAAGCTCCGATGAGTATCTTGCAAATTCTGGTGCTAAAATTGATGAACATGTTTGTTGAATACAACAATTAAAAAATAAACAAATAAAAGTACAGATACATTAAAGTCATGGCATGACTCAGATAATGCAAGAAAGCTCCGCAAAAACTTGCAACTTAATATACCTCCAATCAAGGCTTCATTCTTCAAAGAGTAAAATAGTGAGGATTGGCATGGTTAGCACCCCACAGTATCTTGTGAGCAAGCTATATTGAGTGTCGACGCACTAACAGTATATTGCACACACCGATATGCATTGGACATAGTGCACATCTATAATCATGGCATGGTTCATAAGTCAACCCTTGTACCCGGGACACCATTTAGCTCTTGGACAGCCATGTCATCAGTTAGAGGGTTAAACACATTGTTCCATCTTCTGCCAAGATTCTTTGTGTTCTAACATTTTAATTGTGTTACCTATAACGTAAAGGGACTTAACCCTAACTGGATGGTGTTCTTTTGATACAAAGACTGCCCTTCTGACTTTCACCCATCAGCCATAATGACACCCAAATCTAACATCAATATAGTCATTTCATTTTTCTTCCTGAAATCACCATCACTCAACATTACCCTTTTTAAATACATAATTAATTTCTAAACCATAGTTTTATAATCTGGTAGTGCCATTCCATGTCAACTAATTTGATCCTCAAATCGTCAAATTCAAACCATTAATAAGCATACCATAATGGGTCAGCAGATCCTGATTGAGATCGGCTCAAATCACCAGTTCTAGGTTGATTCTAACTGGTCTATCCAGAATTGGGATTATCTTAAGAACTTGAAGAACAGTACATCTTTGTTGACATAGGCAACAAGATCCAATGTTAGCCAAATTTTAATATCCGCCATCATTTTCCACTGACCATGGTCAGAAAACCTATCTGTAACAAAAGTTCGTTATAACTCAAGTGTCAGTATTTCTAGCGCTCGATGGACCTCACTACTCGGAGAGCTAGAAAAGATTCACCTCTCCAATCGAAACCCCTTTCATTCAACAGTACCGGTAACCAAATACCTATACTTCTTGAACATATTCGGTCAGAAGAGAAAACGACAAGGAAAAAATAAATGGACTGGCGAGAGGAAGGGAATCTGCCATATCCGGGGAATTAACGGAGAGCTGGGGAGTCAGAGAGGGGTCCCCTCACCTTCCTCCTTGGAGCCATCATTTCTCCTCCGCTTGCGGTGTCCGTCCCACCCGATGCCGGCTCCAGCCCCGGCCCCGAGTGTCTCCGCCATGACCTCGATCCGAAGCACGCGGTCGGAGAAGTTGCTGGAGTTGAAGGCGAACTCGAAGTTGTTCTCTCCGCCCGGGAGGGAGTGGTCGCGATCCATCTCCGTCGCAGCCGTTCCGTCGTCGAGTGGATCGGCGCCGCCTCCCCACTCTCTCATTCCCCCTCACGCCCAAGGCGAAGCCCCAACCCTAAGAGATGAAGCGAAGCCAAGAAAGAATGGAAATGGCTGAAGGGCTTTAAAGCCGACACGAGAAAGCGGAGAGCTGCCGGTTTGTAAGTACACACCTTTTATGTTAAGATGAACCGTCTTTAATATTATTATTACTACAAAAAGAATCCATATATATATATATATATATATATATATATATATGAATTTTTGAAAAAAAAAATTACTTTTCAAAATTTTTTACATATCATTCTTACTATAAAAAAAAGAGATAAAATAATTGTTTCATATAATTTAAGATATTATTTCAAAATTTTTCAAATTAAAAACGCTCTATGAAAAATTTAAACTTTTTTTTACGAATTCACCCACATATATATTGCTAATTGATTATAGTATTTCTCTCTCTAAATTCAATACATTTAGACAATCAACCATTGTATGTATAATTGTAATTATGTGTAGTCATGTTGAGTGAGATCTCTCCAAACACTTAAATTTGTGAAGTTTCGAGATAATAAGAGTTAAATACATATTCCCATTCTAATTGAATATGAATAAAAAAATTTAAAAAATTATTTAGATAATATATTATTTATTTTAAAAAAATATATGATATAGGCGAGATTCAAACTCAAAATATTATAATAAACTTTCAAAAATCTAGATTTCGAACTTTTAACCCTTTGTAAGAGTCTAATGTACCACAATTAGATCGATATTTAAAGTATAAATATGTCGAATAAGATTTCGAATCTCAACACTTAGTAAAAAACTTATAATTATTATTTAAGATATAAATATTTATTATTTAGATAATATATTGTTTATTTTTTAAAGATAAATGATATAGGCGAGATTCAAACTCAAAATATTACAATAAAATTTCAAAAGTCAGAGATTTCGAACTCTCAACCCTCCGTCTTATACAATATATAAATATATCGGATAAGGTTTCGAATCTTAGAATCTACGGAACTAATATTTAAGATATAAATATTTATTATTTTTATATTTATTCGGACATCATAATTATTATTTTTCTGTTTTATTATAACAATTATCAATTAGGGTTTTTCACCTGTCTGATCGACCAAGAATATTTGTCATATCGAGCTAAATAACATTATATGGTTTTATTAAAATCATTTCTCATATGAGTGGATGATAATATTTTTCTCTCACATCTCTGATTTGTGTGATGGGAAAACTTTGGGTGAGGGTTGAAAACGTGGATGATAGAGGTCGTTCGATTGGACAATCTTATTGTGGACATACCAAATCCACGTCGTATTCCATCAATTTTATCCCTTCCACCTATCCTTTCCGGTGGTAGTTATCCGTCGTTACCGGTAGTTACACTTGTGTGAGAACGAGAGAAGAGAAATGTGGGAAGACAATAAATTAACAAAAAATAAAATAAAAAAATAAAAAATATATTATATTAGACTATATTAAATCTGCAATTTGATCCGTTGATCCATGGAACGAATGATCCAATGAGTTGAAGATTGGCAAATGATTCATATCTTTGATAAGTCGATTAGCATTAATTATGCAAGAAAAAGTATGACAAGAAAGGAGATCCAAATATTTGTAAATCGAACAATTATAAAAGATTTATGTAATGCAACAGCCTCTCAAAATCAGTTGATATCACAAGATTCTTGAAGGATAGGCTTTATGCACATGATGGTGTTCTTACACTTTGATTGTTGGAGTCTTTAACAAATGCAAATCTCTGGTTTTTGACTTCACATAATTACTGTTGTAAAGCACAAAAAGTAAGAGGAAAGGAAGCACACAAGTCCCTAATTTTCTTGGACTAGATCAGAAACATCCAACTATGATCAACTCTCAGTATCAGTCAACAGTAACATCATCAAATTCGAGAAAGCTATAGTCATTTTGTTCATCTCTGGCAATCAATGGAAGTGCAGCCAGCTTCCACTCCATCATGATAATATCAACATACATTGATAAGCCATTCTTCCAAAAATATGTGCGGTGTGAACAAGTAGAAAAATACAGTGTTTGATAACTTCTCAGAAACACTTGATCATTTTACATCAATTCTGATTCTGTGTGGACTCAAGAATTTTCTAGAGAGAAAGGTTATCAGCATATGATGAGGACCATCACACTGTTACACACAGCTTGATTCCAAACAGAACATGATCAAAGTTCTTTCATGATCTTTTCAGCCTCACTTTCTGGAAAAAATTTGCCAAGGAACTCCTCGAAATGAGTCGAATAAACCTTGGGATTGACTGCTAAAATCACCGGGGAGTCTGATTGGAGAGACCTGAAAACATGTTCCACATGCTTAAGCTTGCTGTGCCCTTGAAGAATATTGACTATTCCGAGATACAGGATAACGTTGTTGGGCGACTGCTTCCTGGGGTGGCAAAGTGATGCTAAATTGCCTTCTTTTCTCTGTGTGTTGACTACACGAGCTGTCATTCGGATGCCAATTTCACTTGCAAATCTGAAATAATTAATTTGTTTTTAGAGCAAGTGAAAGAGAAAAAAAAAAAGGAAATTAAAAAAAAGATCAGTTCAGAACTATCACCCCAAAATCCAAAGATGTGTTGATGCTTAAATGTACAAAGATGAAAAATTACAAACCAAAAACTATAATTACAATATGCCAGAACTACAAACCAAAAACTATTAGGATATTTCTGAGCATAAAAAATGTGGAGATATTTACTCTATAGGGCAGGATGACCCTGAATTATCATCGGTAGTCATATCTTCGGCTGGATCACACTGGGTTGCATCTGGACCATCTGAAGTTTTCTTCTCGGTATCATCTGAACCTGCACAATATATCCATTGCATGTCTTTGGATCAAAAGTTATCATCTTGAAGTGTGATAGGGATTGCTCAGAGTGTCGAAAAATGACATTGTTATACATATAAACAATTTCAAGGAGAGATTTCTTTCTCCGCATACGACGCATTTATCACACAAACTTAATTCTTGACATAAAAAAGAAAATACAGGGAAATGAGTAGCTTGAAACTGATTTACCAGCTGCTGAATTAGTGATATATGAAAGCTGCATCATTATGTCTTCCTTCTAAAATAACAACAAACTTTCCAATTGCAACTCTAGCTAGCACCTAAATTTCAAACAGACAATGACTCTTACAGATACTTAGTTTCATCTTTTGGCTATATATATATATATATATATATATATAGTCACACACACCTTAAGGAGTTGAAGCATCGCATGTAAAACTAAAACTCAGTACTTACAGAAAGCTAGGATGCAAAACGACAAATCAGATAAGTTGGGTTCTAGGAGAGAGCTTGGATGGTGCTTTAGAAATCTAAATGTGGGACTCGTGCATTTATTTGAATGTGGTCTTGTGTGTTCGTTACTTGCAGCCTCACCCAACATTTCCTATTGAATCTTCATACAGATGATTATTGTTATGCCCACAAGTCATCCAATCTGTTGTGCTACAGTGATATCCGCTAATCTTTACAGGGTTGTGGCCACCCTACTTGATGAGGTCATATTTAGATTGGAAAGTTGGAAAAACAATTCCTTATGAAAAGACAAAACCACTCCTCTTCAGGAATGATTTTGGGTCCATAGTTTCTCATAGGTCAAAGTGTTTGCACTGATAATAGCTAATTATACACAACAACAATAACAACAAAACGTAAATCCCAATTATTTGGGGTCAGCTACATAAATCTTTTGTCGTTATTGAGATATGTAAAACACTATATGTTTGGTAAATTTTAGAATATTTAAATTTTTATTTATAATTTTTATTAAGATCTCTTTAGATTTTTCCCTGTCTCTTCTTTTACCACTAATATTAATCAAGAACACACCAAGGCCATCAACCCACCTAAAGAGTGCAATAAGCCCCCTAGAGTAAAGGAGGCACATTAGGTGCTAAGTGCATATCAAGATTCTCATATTCTTTGCCAGGCAGTTTGGTTTAACTGAAGCATGATGACTTTTTCCAATCTTGTTTAAGAAGGTTCACTCACTGATTAACTAAAACCATAAAATTCCCTTGAGAAAATAAAAATATGCCTAAAGATTTACCTACGCGTACTTCACATCAGACTGTAGGACTAATAGAATATGCAATCTAGTCATTAGAAGACCCAACAAATGCCATACTTTTTTACCTTCTTTATGCGTAGTGGTATAGTGGCCTTGAAAAACAGCTTCAAATGGTGCAGAGCAGACATGCATGCCTAGCAAGAGACTGTACTCAGTAACGCCTACTTCTTTCAAAAAGCTGCAGTCATGCTTTATTTGCCTGCCCCAGAAAGAAATTAACTTTGGAAAGCAAAACAAAAGACAACACATGATAATATCATGAAATCTTAATATTCCTTCATTCAGTTCAAATTAACAGTAATTGCAGGGCTATTCTAAATTATCTAATTGTGCGCTTACCACCTTCATAAATGATATAATCATATAACAGGTTTCTAGCAGTACTTTGGATATGGCATTTTAAGTTTGCTTTGGAGATGACCTAAGCAATACCACACGAGGGGTTCTCTCACAATGTAATAAGTAAGATGAGCTTCAGTTATGTAAACACAGAAATCCTATTCATATGGTTTAGTTCTCTCCATATTACCCTCAATCTCTTTCCATATCTTTGGAACTTCTACTAAAAATTTGATTCTTAAAACAAATAATTTTGTTATTCAATTTTGATTTTTGAACTCAATCACCATGTCCTCTGATTCTGATCCTTTAAAGAGCATAACTGGTTGTAGCACAGGGGTATGAGGACAGATAAATATACTGAAGCAGCAAGGACCTGAGGATTGAGTGTTTTGCAAGTGTTGAGGACCTAATCCCTCAGAGTCTTCAAGGAGGCTCTTGCAGTGTCTCCTAATCGTCTGCCCATTAACTTTTAGTGCCTAGTTAGTACTTGGCTCAAAAAACTAAAATAGGAATTAGATGTGGGGATCTGAATTAACAAGTATGAGAAGAAACAAAAGTTTGTGAGCAGAGGATACATAAGAATAAAGGTTTCTAAGATCAGTATAGATCTCTCTGTTAACATACTGCGACACAAACAAAAGGATTCATGGCTCAGATAAATCATGAACATCAATGTTTTTCACATGCAAACTGAAAGTATGAAAAAGAATGGCTGAATGCACGATTATTAAAAATAAATAAATTTAGTATTCTAATTAGCAAGTAGAATTTATCAGATAAGGAAAATAAACTAACTACATGAGTTTCAACTTGTTCAAAGGTTGAAGATCTTGGTATAACCCCTTTTAAATCATTGAAAAAACAAGCAAAGAAAAAAATACAAAGGAAAACATTGTTGTAAAGTGCAATAATACCCAAGATACCTACCTTAGAAGTAGGTGCCTAACTGCTGCATGGAGGTGAAAAGCAACATTAAGATCTTCCTCAGCTCCTGCTTTGCTAACAAGGCGACCTTGAGGTGAAATTCCAAGGTTAAATTTCTTATGAATGCTTATATCTGACCGAAGAATATTTCCAACTACGACGAAGCGAACCTGTTTATAGTAATGTGTCATAACCCACCATAATAGGTAAGATACCATCTCAAAATTTGCAAAGAAACAACTAATCATGTTATTTATTACAGGTAAAGCAGAAGTTATAAGCAAATTAGACATGTCATGCTACCTTTTTTCCACCTTGTGGCTTCACAACATATAGCCCATAAAACTTTGGTAGCAAAGACCTCCTGTATTTCTTCAGATGGTGATAATATTTTGGTAGTATTTCTAATAAAACCTGAAAGAATGAGGAATATAAGCTTGCTGTTTGCAGCGGCAAAAACTTTTAATGCCTATGGAATAAACCTCAACATAAACTAAATGTTATTTATCCCGCAGAAAATAGTGGCCACACATGCACATTAAGAGAAAATGTCAAATAGTTTCAGTTAGTTACCTATTTTTAAAACTGATTCAGACAGAAACTAGATATACTAAATCTGTCTGGAAAATTACACCCAAGCAAATTTGTGTCAAATAGGATAATGTTGTTTTTATTGTTTGTCTTGGTGCAGGCCACCAATTTCTACCATAACGTTGGAGTATTTACCATTTATTTCAACAAATTTCATAATCATGATAAGGTCAAATGTTGACTCAAACAGATAAAGCAAAAGATTAATAAACTACTGATACATATGAGGCAGTAGTGCAGTACCTTCATCTCAGATTTGCTTAGGATCTTTATTATAAATCGATCATCATGCTGTAAACAAAGAGAGGTAGCCTTTTCAGGTGAAACAAGGAACTTTAAGGTTTCATGTCCACGTATTGAGTCCGTGTAGTCATCATTATCAATTTCCCCAAACTCTTGAAGTTTCCTGAAGATTGAAGCAAATAAAAAAAGGTTAAGTTAAATAATCTAAGTGGTTACATACAAACAAAATGTTCCAAAATCTACTAAAAGAACAGGTATAGTACTAAAGCGATATTGTGTACTTGTTACAGTTTAGATTGTCAATGTTAAAGTAATTCTTTCCTTCTGTCACAACACAAAAATACTCAATAAAACTAATATTTTGTTCTGAGGAGGTGATGGAGGATATTACAGCTTGCAGACCCTCATCTACGACAAATTCCCAATACAAATAAAGATAAAAGTTCCAAAATAGATCTATTTTACACCTATCTAGAGCCTAATAGGACAATCTTAAATAACTATTCCAGTATTCCTTTGCAATTTAATAATAAAGCTCATTTATATAGAATATACTACTAACTCAATAGGAAATGAGTATATTAGTTAACAATCTGTAAAAAGAGAAGTAATTTGTAAAGTACGAACCTGAAAACTGCAGGACGATAATCTACCCACTCAAACTTGGCATTTGTTGTGTGAGAACCAATAGAACATTGCAAGGAAAAATTTGAAGTGGAAACAAAATCAAGATCAGAAGGTTCCCACTCTCCGAGTGCGGGTTTTTCCTCCATTTCTGCCTGCATGTTAATAACCTTTGCATAAGGATAATTAACATGCCTAATAAACCATCACTTATCTTATAAATAATTTAACTAATTCAATGAAAAAATGTACTATTACATGCTCCATCAAATACAAGAAGTAAAAAAGTCGTAAGAAAGTAGGCAGAGAGTAGCATCATCTTAAGCTATTCAGTGAAATCGCAAGGATATGATTGCGCTCACTTGATTTTGGAAATTACATAGTGGGAAAAGGCAAGATTCTTTCTTTGTCCAGACATTTTTGGGCATAGCTAATCATGTTTCAACTGGCACATGTGATGTGAATGCGTTGATACAATTAGGACACAGGCGTGGGCACATAATTGACAGAAGCTCCACACACAATGAAGCTCATCATCGTGCGATCACTGAGCACTCAAAACCCGTTCATCCAGAGCTTACATGAATATATAAAAATCTTAGTATACACAACATTTATCACAACAATAGATTACGCACCAACTTTACTAACCTTCCAAGCCAAGCAAGATCTCAATAGAAGCTCTCAATTACGTCACGTATCAGTCTGACAAAATGTCAAGAGAATAGAGATATAGTAAGCACAGAAAGAATCCAGAAAAAGACAACAATGAACGTGCTGATTAGCCGGTCACAGACATAAAACTCACCCCACACGAATCATCAGGTTGAGACACATCAAGATTCAATTTGTAAGCAGAAATATGAAATCTTGAAACACAGGAGGATAAAGAAGAGCAAACGCATCAACGATTGGAGGAGAGAGAGGTGACGGTTACGTACCGGTGACCTCCTCTGACGCCGCGAGAGCCACCGGGATGTGGGAAGACGCGGAGTTGATGGGGGCATTAGAAGATGGGAGGCAAACGGGACTGAACCCAACGGGGGTTGGGAACAGCGTGGAGATGGTTTTAGGGCACCGGCGAACGGCTTCGAACGCCAAGAATAGGCGTCGCGGCCACCAGTGAAAGAGAGGGAAAGAGGACGAATGCGCGACCGAATAGGGGCAAAGGATCAGAACTTGATGAAATGCGACAACAGCCCGACTTTTAAAGCATGTTTGGTGATACGGTTTCAGTTGGTTTGATTTCAATTAAAATATCACGATTTAGTAGTTGATGGGAAAATATTCTCAAGTAAAAATCACCGGAGAGAAAGCAAAGATCCGATCAACCATCAGAGGTCACTCTTATTGACTAATTCATAATATTTTCCCATCAACTTCTAATTTGTTATAATTCAAAATATTAATTTAAAATAATAATTCAAGAAATATTATGAAAAACGATGGGAGAAAGGATATTATGTTGAAACATTTCATAGATTAATTTGTTATAAAAGATTACTTACGGTATGATAATCGAGATCAATTATTATTTATTAAAATTATTTATTTTTATTAATTATTGACTTGAGTTTCGAAGGAATCACGTCGAAAATCTCATTTGATCTTAGTTTTCGTGAGACAAGCATCTAAGTCCATATTAGCCATGGAGCAATTGTTTGAGTCTTGTTTCAATCGTATAAAAATTTTTCATGTATATAATCTCGAATCGAATCGTTGAAGAAGGTATCATCCATTTCATCGAAGACACGTTATACTAATTTTTTTTAATAATTTCAATTAGTTTATTAATTATTCTTTTATAATTTTCTTAATGTTAGACCAAACTGACCGGTTATTTAAAATTAATACCAGATTGAAATACAAATAAATAGATTAATCATTTTAAGGAAGTTTGAAAATTATAAGGAAATTCTAAGCTCGGAAGGATTATGTTAGATTACTGATAGATAATTGGCATATTACAGTTTTATTGTGTTTGTTGAATTACAAAGAAGTTTCTAACCTACTTAATAAGGGTAAGAATTTAAGAAATACATGGAATGGACATTCATTCTCTCTCTCTCTCTCTCTCTCTCTCTCTCTCTCTCTCTTCCCAGCTGCTTTCTTACTAACTTTTTCTCTAGCAAATAAAAAAAATCTTCTGTCATCAGTTTCACACTTGGAAAAGGGTGAATAATAGCAAAATCAAACCCTGTATGCAGCAGTTATGACCATTTCCTAAATGGGAAGAAGAAAAAAAATGATCCATGATATCAATGGAATAATATAAATAGGGAAGCAAACTATTATAAACTATTTCAAAGCATCTTACAAGTGCCTTTTATAAGGAAATCACCATCAGTTTTATTGCTTGTTCCTTCATCAAGAGTTCACTTGTAGCAGACAATAGGATCAATTGTACTAAGAACAACAGTCCCAATTTTAACTTCTTCCTCACATCTAAAAATGTGTTTTCCATTTCATCCCCAGGGTTAAAAGAAGATGATGCACATGTATCATCAACATCAGTTTCAACTTGCAGTTCAACAGGAAAAGATTGAGGAGTTGGAACAATTGAACAGGATAATGCATACCTTATTCTATGTCATATAATATCACTGTGCACATGCACAATCACAAGAACAGATCTTTCATGTGCCCATAATCTGACTGAAGAAACTACCAGCCCTCTTTGAAAGCAGATTTTGCAAGGCATTACTGAATCCATTCTGGAACAAAATGATGAAAACATTTATGATTTATATAAGAAAATTGGTTCAATTGGAAAAAAAAAAATTCAACCCCTTCCGCATTAAGGAATACGCTAACTTTTATTTTTTCTAGGATTTTATCAACACCTGTTTATTTTGTGGCTACATTCGGTTAAATTATATGGAACAATAATTTCATGAAAACTGCATTACAACTGACTGTACAACTATACAAGAATCTGATACCAACAATTTATACATAGGCTAACTCCCAAATGTCAGTTGGCAAAACTCCATAAGTATTTTGGGAAGCAGAAACTTCTGTCAGTCCTTTTCGGCACATCTGGATGCAACTAGATAAAATGCCAAGTAGCATTTGATCCATGAGAGTCTCAACATAAATTTCAAGCAAGAAAAGCCACTTGATAGTGATGTCTCAAAATAAGTGGGCTTTGGAGTGGATGGACAGCCAAGCAACTGAATCAGCTCCTCCACTGGCAGTACCTGAAACTTGGTCGGTGTATTAAGAGCAACATTGTCTACACGATGCTCATAGATCTTTCCATTCTTGTCAAGTTTGTACTCTGAGGTTCCATCAAAGCGGCCATGACTCTCCCAAGGCACTCGGGGAATGCCATGAACAATCCAACGGATCATGATAACATTCTCCACAGGCTGCCATATGCTCACAATGTTAATCCATATGGCCCGAAAGAAAATGCGGCCACTAAGTCTTAGTGCCCAAAAAATCCTTTTATAATTGTCAATACCAGCAAACGTGTTGAGAGGATCTTTGAAGACAATATCATCCCTGGATGATAACAAAAGAAATATGTTAACCAGAACTAACTAATAGCTCTAAAACTCATTACACTGACAGTAATATAAACTATTCAACCAATTAAAAGTGAGAAGATCATGGTGAATCAGCAACGCCAGACACAGTGAGTACCAGTCACAGGACATATCTTTACAACTATAACTGAGAATTTAGAGCGGAACAAGTAATAACTTCTGGAATGTTTTCATAAGGTACATGATGTAAGTATCGTCTACCTTAAAACAACCTGTTCTAATGAATTACTTGAACATTTCTAATATTTCAAATTATTTTCAACAAAAGTTCAATCTTAAGAATGAGACTGATCTAGGTAATATAGAACTGTTTACCTTGAGAGTTTGATGAAGTTTGTGGTACTTAAACCAAAATCATTCATTTCCTTGGCGAGTGGCAACAACCATGCAAATGGGAGGATATGTAGAGGTAACTAAAGGGCCCGTGTGGAACTCCCATGTGGAGCCATCAATACCTCCATCGAGGCAGCCAGGTAAAATGTGTAAGCCAAAAAGTAGGAAAAGTATTTTCTATCTAACAAACCCTGTAAAGTTTCATAAGTATTCAAGGTTCTTTATCAGCTCTTTACATTTATAGATAAACCAGCAGCTAAAATTTATAGATTTAGATGTTGAAAAACTTTATATCAAGTCATGATAGTTTGTGGGGACCTCACAGCAAATAGGATTTAGAAGAAGGAAGCATAACATTAGGGAGAGTCATATATGCTATTATAGCTTGTCCTCATTGTCTAAACACATTTTTGAGTTCTACGCACAACAGCTTAGTAAGGAATCATAAGAGTGACCACTCTACCTACCTAAAGAAAGGGATGGAGAAACAAAATAAAGAACAAAGAGAGAATAAGCTGATTCACCTGCTGCCAATTTGCACCAATCAATTACTTGGCTAAAAGTCGAGAGAAATCTTCATTTCTATTTATATGTTAGCTTGATGACTCATTTTGGTTAGATCTAGCTATTGGACCAAGTACCAAGATTTGCAACATTCAGATCCAATTTAAAAACAACCATGGAAATTACGATCTGGACTGGCAGAATTTGATAGCGACACTGGCCTTTTACGAAAGAAAAAAACAACCTAAAGTGATTAGAACATTTCAGGATTGGCCGAAATGGGCCCAAATTTAAATAGGATCAACTAGGCCCATTGATGACTAAAACCCCACTGAAATCCATTGGAACTAGTTGGATTCAGTCGAAATTGGATGAGGCTGATCAAGTCCTGGCCAAGTCATGACAGCTAGTCCTCTGTAAAAGTAGGTTTGGAGGGAGCCTCATTAATATGATTCACAGCGATCAATCATGAAAAACCATATTAAGTGTGGTGGGTGTGATCAAACGTGGATATCTCTAGACAATGTGGGAAATGCTAAGCCTTATTTTTTATCTACCCTTTTCATGAGCTACTGATGTACATGATGAATTAAGTTTGGCTCGTCGGATAGTTCCCATCTTATGCGGAAGAGCTTCAACAGATAGAAAATCGATGAAACGACCCCATATCCTGTTCCACAACTGTTCGTTTATCTTTCTGCTGACAGGCAAATAGGTTGCATGGTATCGCATCAATGGTTCTAAGGACTTGTAGGCTTTTGGAGCATAGGCCGATAGAATCACTAGAAACACAAATCTAACTGTGATTTTGTTATTTTAGGCACATCTAATGCATATGAAGATTTCGGGAATTCAAGTCCTACAGGGAGAGGAAGGTCATACCTATGATCCAGTGGAATTTTGGAACCAAGAATGACATGTTTAGATTTGCTAGGTGGGACCAGTCCAAATTTGTGCCGAGATGGGTTTGGCTGATCAGCCATGTTCAGTGTAGTACTCTTGTAGTCATGCCTTAATTTGATTTGTCGGTCGAATGAATCCTACTTATCTAAGAAGATGTCTTAGGTTAGGAATCATATAATCATAACCCATTCCCTATTTTCCTTGTAGGTGCTATTTTGGAACAGTTCTTTGGTCCATGCCATTATGACAGTGTAAGTTGTGGAAGAATAGACACAGAATTCTACTACTGTTTCCAGAGGTACCCTATTGTAAGATATGGGGTTTTCTTTTTTTAATCTTTTCTCATGCTCTCCTCTTTTCTTGATATGGGTTTCATGATGGGGTTTCACATGGTAGACCTAAGACAAGTGATTTAACTTTTTTTAATTTTTATAAGCTAGTTTCATAATTATGCCTTAAATCATGAAAGATCCCATCCCTGTATTTTCTCGACAGTATAGCTATTGGAATTCCGTGCACATTTTGCCCATTCCTAGTTCCATCGTGGTCGACACTTCTAATATCCAGTTCTGCCTAAACCAAAAACAGCAGTGACAACCACACAGATTGTGGCTATGCCAAAAAAACCATAAGATTCAGAGATATCTCCTCAAGGCATGACTTTTGGTTTTCCGTGTCCCCATTAATCTCTCCACGCTACTTATATGGGCAAAAATCTGGGGATGGTGGTAGTAAAATGAAAGCAAGCCGCCAGACAGCTCCGATCAAACTTGTACAAATTCTCATCTAAGGCTGTTAAATGTCCACAGAAATTAGGTTCTCTAAACCTAAAAGGATGAACTTTTCCGTGAAATTTCCAGCTGGATTCGAATATTGTTTAAAAGGTCAAGCGAAATCTTGATATAATTACCAATAAAAGCCACGAAACAAGCGGAATCACGAACCTAAATACGTCAAAGTTGGGTTCACGCTGGAAGGTATCAGGAAAATCCTCTCGCAAGGTCCGAATCGCGTATCCCATGTTGACATAGTAGCTATGCCTCTCGTCGCCGTCGTCCATCTGCTGCTGCGGCGTCACAGAGGGGGACGGGGGAGAAGCAGACGAAGCGCCGGAAATTAGGGGGACGGAGAGGAGAGGGGGAGAGAGCAGGCCCCTCTCCCGCAATGGATCGGACACCCTAATCACCCTCTCCTTAGCCTCGTCCTTGACCCCGCCACGGGCGCAAACGCTTCGTCGCGGTGTCCTGCCGGGATCGGGGCTGCTGCTGCTCGTCCGCCTGGGGAGTGGGGCTTTGGCCGCCGGGAGTGAGGTGGCGTCGGTGAGAGGGAGGAGGAACGCCATGGGAGAAATGGGGGCGAAAAAGGAGCCTCCTTCCTATCCGAGAGAGATATATTGGGGATGGGGATGAATAAAGGAAAGCAAACCAAAGATTGGTCTCAACATTACATAAGGCGGTGAATAGGAGGATCACAGGTTGAAATATCAGCTCTGGTGGGGACCAGTGTGGGTCCCACTTTTGATTCTGAAAAAGAAGGGTAAAATAAAATTAGCACCTAATTTTTCAAAACTTTTGAGTTTATATATATATATATATATATATATATATATATATATATATATATATATATATATATATATATATATATAAACTTTATCCTTTTTGTTTGATTTTAGTATCTACTAAGTGGTAGAAAAAAAATATATTATCTCAAATTATACATTAAGAGAGGATTAAGATTGCTAAGAGTTATTTATTTATTTTTTGATATATTAAGATCAAATCAAATGAACAAATCTTGAGTTTGGGGAAAAAAATAATTGACTCAATTTTGACTTTTCAATAGGTCAAATCACAGTTTGTAAGTTGAAAATTAATGTTCTTATTTTCGATTAAAATAATGTCCTTATGGCAACGGGTCAAACTTTTCATTTGAGTTTGACATTAACATTGGAGAGATTGGGTCAAAAGTGGTGAGGCAAATTGTCAACTCAATCACTTTCTTTTATTTGCTGCCTTGGAAAAGAAAGATTAAGCATCACTTTCCAAACGCCCATTTCATGTGGCATCAACTTTTACGTTTCATGACAAAACTAAACCCACATTTAGATGACAATGATAGGAAAGAGGCAAAATGTGGATAGGCAAAAGAACAGTGTGCACCGGTAAGTCTATTTGAGAATATATTTAAAATGTGTATAGAGGATCAATATATATTTTAAATGTAAATTAATATTTAATATTTTTTAAAAAAATTATATTTGATTTTTTAAATAAATATCGTATTAAAAATGCTCAAATGCTCAAATACCCAAATTAATATTTCAATTTTGACGGCATGCTAATATAATTTTTTAAAAATTTTAAAATATTCTATGATATTATTTGAAATGGTAAGTTTATCAAAATAATTTAATAAAAAATTAACATGATTTATATTTTTATAAAATAAAATTTTATTTATTTTTTAAAAGTTTTTTATTTTTATTTTACTTATTAATTTAAATAAGTAATTATAATTTTTAATGCATATAAAAAATTAAAATGATAAATTTTAGCAAAAAACTATTAATAGACATTTGAAATATAATTTTATCAAATAACAGTTACATCAATATGTGTTTTAAATATAAATTAATATTTATTTTTTAAATCATACTTGATTATCTAAATATCGTATTAAAAATGTTCAAATGTTACTGCTACCTTAGGATATATTTTTTTAAATTTTTTTAATATTCTATGATATTATTTAAAATTATAAGTTTATCAAAATAATTTAATAAAATTAACATGATTTATATTTTTATAAAATAAAAATTTTATTTCTTTTTTAGAAGTTATTTTTATTTTTCTATAAAATATTTTTTATAAGATTTCATTTATTTATTTTTACTTATTAATTAAAATAAGTAATTATAATTTTAAATAAATATAAAAAAATTAAAAGGATAAATTTAGCAAAAAAAATTATTATTAGACATTTGAAATATAATTTTATCAAATAACAATTACCATGGATACACATATAAAATGTAATTTACATCTATTGCTTATCGAACACTAAAAGTATTATTATGTAACTACATAGTATTTTCGAATACAGCCTCAGCATCAAAATAATCAATTGAGGTAAGAGAGATGAATTCATTAACTCACACACACACACACACACATTTTTCTCCATTCTTAAATTATTATTTCATTATTTTCTTTGCATCAAATAATCTTTGGCTTAAACAGAAAAGAAGAAAAACTCGAAAAATTTACAAATTTATTTTCAAGGAAAAAAAATTCAATCAAACTAAAACTATCATATAAGATTAAAAGAGTTTAACCTCTAAGTAAGTTTATTAAAAATATATATATTAAAAGTTCCTTCTTAATTTCTTTTTCCTAGTGATGTAAATTATTTTTTAATCGATTAACACATTTTATTTTATTGATAATCTTCATGGTGTAGTCATGGAAAAAGAGGACTGATATATTAAGAATATAAATATATTAAATCATATATTATATAATTACTCAATATTTTAGATGTATTGAAAATATAAAATGATATCAAACTTATTCAGGTCGCTATTATTATTAATTCAAAATTTACATATTTGATTGAGTATTGCAAAAAAAAATCTAAATTAATTGAAAAATACAAAAATCTTACAACTCATATTACATAATGAATAGAGAAAGAAAAATGGAGAGAAGATTGCGTGTGAATAATTCTTTCCTAATAAATTTCTCTGTACAGTGTACGAAAAAGGAAAACTGTGGAGATATGATGCCGTCTTTCTCCCTTTCCTCTCCTGTCTGCTCTGTGCGGCCTATAGGACGGACAGCGGAGGAGGCATCAGCTCCCACCGGCTGCCTTCGCCGTGTTGTTTCTGTTAGGAAGTCACCGCGGCTGAAGGAACTACTGGTCTCCCAGGTCCCCACAATCGAACTCCCCCGCCTCGGCAGCCGCAGTGGGAGCGGCGGCGCCCATGAAGAGCAGGTCGTCCCCGCCCATGATCTCCATGTCCTTCACCAGTAGGATTCCCTCGTCTTCGTCCTCCTCCTCGTCCTCGTCCTCCTTCTCATGCGGCCACTTCTGGAGGAGCTCGTCCTCCATGGAGGCCGTGAGGGGGGTCGTGGGGGAGAGACCCGCCGCAGCGGAGGAGGACGGAGGGCTGGAGGATGGGTTGCCGGGGGCAGGGTGGCCAACTCCGCGGGAAGGGGAAGGGAACTTGTGGCGGGTGCTGCCGGCGAGGGCGTTGCGGTGGGTGGGCACCGGGTGGTTGTGCTCCGCGGTGTAGGTGATGATGAACATGGCCGGGTCCGCCCGGCTGCGCTCCACCTGCTTGCGGGCGAGGCAAGCCTTTGAGCTGCTACACCTGTAGTATCCCCTGCATCCCGACACCAACAGAGAACTCACCAAGCTCAGAGAGAGAGAGAGAGAGAGAGAGAGAGAGAGAGGGGTTAGCTTACCGAGGATAAGGAGAGCCTTTGATGGGTTTCTGGCCGTACTTCCGCCACGCCCACGCATCGGAGGAGAGCCCGTCTGACGGGACGTGGCACGCCACTTTCTGCTGCTGCTTCTTCCTGGAATCGCCCAATTAATATCCATTTCTTAGATCAAAGCTTCCTCTTCAAATCTGAACTATAAGGGACAAAAGGATGACGACCGAGAGGCACCGCTTCCTCTTACCGTCGTTTGGAGCGTGGAGTCTGGGAAAGAGGTCGGTGAGCATCCTTGGACGGTCTCGCAGCAGCGTCGGCAAGGGAAGGAGACGGACTCCACCTCGACTGTTGCTGTTGCTGGACTTGGGGGAAGCAGGGCTCGTAAAGCTCCTCCAGCTCTTTAAGGCCATCCCGGCCGAGGAACAGACGCTGGAAACCCACAAAGGAGGCACCTTTATCAGCTCCCACCGCAGCTGCCTCCTGCAGCTCCACCTCGAGCGGCACCATCGGCGCGGCCTTCGTCCCCGACGGCCGGCAGCTCCGCACTACCGCGCCCAGATCCCAGTCGTCATCAGCCATCCCCAGCGACAGCAACCACATGGCTCAGATACACTTCCTCGGGATTCCGAGCTCGAGCTCCGCTTATTAAGCCCATGCTCCCCGCGTGGAAAGCGAGACGGAGGCGTTGACCAACGGAAGGAGGAGGTCGGAAAGGGGGCTCGGCGAGAGACGATCCAGCGGCGCTGACTTTTTCTCCTCGGCTACACGATGGAGAGCAAATGTGGAAAGAAGCCGTCAAGGGCGATTTTGGTGGGAGCCCCTTCTCTCAAAACTGCTAGAAACCAGAGTCGTTTTTGGAAAAGACATCAGTTGACTTTTACCAAAGTCAACGAGTGAGAACAAGAAAATAGAAAGAGAAACTAATAAATCATATAAAAATAAAAATAAAATGTATACATATTTGCATGGATAAAATAATATCCTAAATTAAATTAGAGGTATTTAAATATGGGTGATTGAACTAAGTTGAAGTTTCTGCTGTAACTCTTTAAATCCCTACGTGAGGGAAGATTTGGGGGGTATGAGATTGATTCTAAGGATATTAAAGTAGTTAAGGTAAATATTGTAGTATATTTTGACAAAATTAGACCCACTAAGATTACTTCAATTAGCTTGGATTTGTTACCATATCACAACATCAACCGAAGACCACGAGAATTTGAATACAAGGAAGGAAAGTGCATGTGAATTGCATGGAATTCTAATAGTGAGAAGTCAATGGTTCTTATTTCCACACGCTAAATCATTTCTCCGTTGATTTAGTATTGATGGGCGTTGACATTGAGAACTCCGAGTGTGGGAGAGAGTTGGAGAAGTAATCAAAAGCAGAAGAAAGACGAAGGGGAGTAAAACATATCCTCTATTTACTTATATATAGTGTCCGAGTCTCATATATATTTAATTATAGTTAGTATATCAATAGAAACATAAATAATATTCATATATTACGTATTCATGTTTTTGATTCTTAAGATTAAAATATATATTTTTCAAAAATATCCTTCTCAGTATTATATAAAATATTGATTTAAACACGTATAATTATTAAGATGAATATGAGGTTAAGTTATGATAATAAATATGTATATAGTGATTACAAGTAATGATTGAATTTTAATTGATCTTTAAGTGAATCTTAAGACTTAAATGGGTTTAAACATAACTAAAATAAGGAAGTTTAAGTTTTAAATATCACGTATATAGAAGATAATAAGTTATTTAGATATGGATGGAGTAATAAAAAAATTAAATATGATGCAAATCAAATAGGAGTATTATACTAAATGTTGAGATACATAAGAGAGATTGAAAGATGAATTTTGATCAAAAATATCATCTTTGTTCAAACCAAATTAAACTCAATTAAAGTTTTTATAATATCAAAATTATAATAGTAAAAGAAAAAAAAAAGAAAACCATGAAAGGAGGCCTAATGAGATTGAATCCTAGGCCTTAAAGCAACCTCTTAAATATTTTTACCTTAATTTTGACTTCATCATCTTTTCCATAATCTTTTTTCTCATTTTTTTAGTCATTCTCTCAACTTCTCTTAGAGAGGCCATGAAATCTCAGCTCTAAGGAAGATTGAGTTAAGAAAAATTTAACTCTTCCCTTACAGATTTTAGTTTGATAAATTATATGATGATGTTTCAAGCTACTTTTGAATAACTTAAACTTTTAAATTTATCTTTGATTATTGAATATATCTTGGATGATTCTGTTATAGTTGACTTTAATATAAAGTATTTAGAATATTTTTATTTTTTAAAAAAGAATTATATTTGAGCTAAATTATACTCCTTAGGGATATAATTAAACTCTAACATTTTGATATGTTTTAAAAAGTTTTCTTAGAGTTTTGTAAAATTTAAAATTGAGTGAATACCATCTTTATACACAAAGATATAAGGTTTATAAATTTATATAATATTAACCCAATTTCAATATAATAGAATAGGTATTGTAGTTGAATTAGGAGAGTAGTTTAGCCTCCATATGATTATTTTTCATGCTAAATTTTGGTATATATTTAGTTTTATATATCTCATAGTATTTTATAAAATTTTATGATAATTCAATATCATTTGGTCAACTAGAATAGTAAAGTATAATTTCTTCACTAATTGAATAATACTAATTAGTTCATTTGATTTTAAAGTGAATTGTTGAAAATTTGGTGGAGGAATCCAAATAATTTTTTAGGTTAGTATAGTTTATTTCATAAGAGATTTTATCAAACTTTTAAATTATTATAA